GGAGCTGGAGCTCAACCCTCCACCCCACGGGCCTGGGGGAGCTACTAATTCCTCAAATGCCATTGCCGGCTCTCTTGGGTGTGGTGTCGCTTTCGTAGGCCTGCTAGTGGATTGACGATCTCCCCTCTTAGCTAGCACCTTGCTGCGGCAGTCAACTGCTCAATGCCCCTCTTTTCTGCACTTGAAGCAGTCGAGCGGGGTGTGTTCGGCAATGGCCGGGAAGTTTCACTTCTCCTCTCAGGTGCTGGCTTGAAGGTAGGTTTCACTGGGTGGTGCTGGTGCTTGCGCTTATCTATTTCCACCTCTTCTGCTAAGAGGCACCAATTGTACAATTGTCCTGGAACTTCACCTCTGCTGGTTGGGATATGGCCCCTCTGAGTCTTTGGGGTGGTTGTGCCCACTGTGCCACCTTCTTCACCACCTTCCTCCTCTGCTTCTTCCTCCAATTCCAATTGCTCTTTCAGCTGGGCTTTTAGTTCCTCGAAGGACTCTCACGCATGTTCCATTGTCTGCTTTAAGATTGATTTCATCACTTCTGAATTCGGATCCATTAACTCCTTTTCGGGAAGGGTAGGCTCTGGGTTTTTCTTCTTTGCTTTATTTTTTCCTCCACCTCGTGTGAGAGTTACTTTCTGAGCCTTTCCTTCCTAGTCCTCTTTCTTTCCAACCCTGAGCAACCACCTGGCTCGATCACCTTCTGCCAGAGGTTCCTCCACTCCCAGGTCCCTGGAAGTGCTTTCCCCGGGGTCTGCCAGAAGGATCTCTCTGCTCCAGCTCTCCCAGCTCACCCTCTTCCATCTTGCCGTTAGGAAGGGGCACGTCGGTTGTGACCCACCTTGGTAGGGCAGCTGCCTCTCCAGGCTGGGCACTATGCAGCCTTTGCCTTATGTAAGGATCTACCTCATCCAAGCCACCCAAGAAAGCAGAACTCTTGAAACAGGCATTATCTCAAAAGGAACTTTTATTAGGGGCTAGGGACAGCAAGGATTCAAGGCGAGGTCTGGAGAAAAACCCGTGAAAGCAATATAATAAAAGCAGCATTCAATACACCATCCCCTAGTGTCCCAGTGTTCATTTGAAATCCAGCCCATCCACAGGTGGCATAGTGTTTTAGTAACTGAGTTCTTTGGCGTGTTCATTCAAGGTCTCTCTCGCTTTTGTTTCCTTCTGGCTCCAAGTGCAAACCGTCTCTTAGACCTGACAGGATGGCTGGGAGTTCTTTCCCTTGTTCTGCCATTCTGATTTCTCAGCATATAGCCTGTCGGGAGGGCACCCTGCAGTACTTGGGAGTTTGTTGCTTGGCGGGAATTTCAATAGTTCCCTCCTCCAGTCCACCTATGGATTCCACCTCTTCAGCCAGGTCAGCCCCAGAATGAGGGGCCTTTTCATCCCAGGGGCTACTATGAAACTTAAAGTTTCTGAGTGGAAAAAAATGGTGGGGGAAAATTGGCGGGGATCCCCCCTGTGACTGAGCCATCTAGTTGGCAGAATGCAATTGGGGTATTTAGCCTCCTCGGGTAAATTCCCAATTTCTCACTGTTGCTGGGTTCATTAAGCATCTGGTACATCTCTAATCTAATAGGTAGCCCACTTACCAAGGGGTCGTCATTGGAGCCAGTGTTGCTAGACCCCTGGTCTTCTTCTGGCAGGTCCAGAGTTCCCTCCTCTAATTTAGGCGAGGGAGTGAACTCCACAACCTCCATGCTTTTCAGGGCCGTTTCCTTTGTGCGGTGTTGCGGCTTTGCTGTCCCCCCCCCCCAGTGACACTATAATCTACCTACCCACCTACCTGCCTATCTACCTACCAGATCCCTACCGGAATACTGTCATTCTGAGAGGAGGGGGAAGTGCTGCTTGGGGATTGAAGATGCTTCTATCTTGTTTCTGCTTTTGCTTTGATGTATCTGCATGGGAATTGGGGAGGGGGGAATGAGCCCTCAGAGCCATCTGGCTTGACTCCTTTCCGGCCATCTCCTGCCTGTTGCCAAGGTCGTGGCGCCAGAGAACTTGTTATCACCTTTGTGGTTCAAAGTTCTCATAACACCTTCACACCAGTGGATGGCTCCCGATGGACTGGGACCATGGGGGGTGGTTGGACAATGGGAAATTAACCTAATGTTTTTGCGGGGGAATTTCTGATTTTGCCTGACTTCTCTGCAATCGCTTTCTCTCAGTAAAATATCCTTCTGAAATAATGCTGTTTCAAGAGTCACGCTTTCCTGGGGAGATAGCTGAGGCAGGACCTTACACTACCTACCTACTTACCTACCTACCTAACTACCTCTTTCCCTCTCTCCCTCCTTCCTGAGTAGAATTTGGAAGGAGCAACTCTGAGGGCCAGTTGAACTAGTTTTAATGATGTTTTCCAGCTGATGCAGCCAGAGAGGAGCTGCATCAGCCTGACTGCAGCACTAGTCTCTTGGAGAGACCTCACTTTTTGCCAGTCATCCAGAAGTGTCTCTTTGGCACTGTCAGCTTGGTACATTGGAAGCCCAAGCCATGATCAAGATCTGAGGAGGCTGAGTGCCTATCTGGGTCTGTCTCTCTGCTCATGAGGACTGGCAGTGCCCAAGGTGAAGGAATGCTGCCCACTTACACAATTTCAGCCATGTATTTTTGGATAATGATGTCACTATGGGGAGGAGGAGGAGGAGCAGCAGCAGCAGCAGCAGCAGCAGCAAGGTAAATATCCATTTATGTTCTGCTGCCAGCAGGAACACAGACCAGGTATTGGAGTCTGGCCGAAACTGGTTGCCACAGAATTTCTAGCAGTTGTGGGAAAAGATTAACCCAACTTCCTTCTAAGAAGCTGGGTGGGAACTTTCCATCTCGCCACCAGGTGGAGAAGCCCCCTGGATTGGCGGCTCTTTTCATGGTATGGTTGACAACCCAGCCAGACTCTGGCTTCCCAGGGAAAGAAGGGAAGCCCGCCTGATTTTGTGAGAAAAGCAGCAGTCAACCCACGCTACCAGCTACCCCCCCCCCGGACAAGCTCAAAGTGAGGCCCAGGCATGAGATGCCACTGGCACACCTCCTGGGCTCTCTCCCGCCTGGGGCATGGGGAGAAAGGCCTCATGTACGCACACAGGCACCAAAGCCGTTACACCCCATATAGCATGGATATAAACACGGGGCAGATCCCAGAGGATTCTAAAGTCAGACACCCTGGAAGTTCCTGAACGTCCCTAAGTCAAAGGCATGCTCTCTGCACGTGCACAGAGGCACTCTCATAATGGCTGGTTCAACCAATCTTAAAGTGATGCAAAGTATAAACTGATGACTGAGAATGTGCCCAACTGGGAGAGCAGAGACCCAGCTTCAGCTCCCACCTTGAGCTCACTCCGCAACCCCATTTGGCAGGTACAATTAAGCGGTGCTCCCAAGAAAGAGGGGGGCCTCTCCTCTGAGTTCTTGGAAAATAAGGAGGGCAAACGCATAACTAAATAATAATGAAATAAATATGGAGCAAGCCATCCAGTCCTGGCAGGGGAATTCCTTTGGACATATAAAAAGTGTAATCATAAATCTGCATTCTGTTAGTATCATGCAAAAAAATGTTCCTATTTTTCTGCCAATTTTTAATCATCCTGATGAAAGAGAATTTGCTTCTCAAATTTATTTTGACCAAGAAGAAAATGTAATTGAAAATCTGAGGATTGGAGGGTGATGTTTTGCAATGTATTAAGTGATTTAATCTGCAAGTGGACAGTCAGGTTTGGCCTTTCACTGCACCATTCTCTCTCCACCGTTCCCAACAAATGAAAGTAGGTTGAACAGCCCACTAAGAGGAACTGAAACTAAAGCCAATGGCATCGCAAGGAAGATTTTGGGCACAGCATTATTTTAAATATCCCATTGCTTTCAGGGCATGAAAACCACAGCCTGCCCTAGCAGCAAACCCCCCAGCCTCTGATCTCTCCCCTTTCAGCTCCTGTTTGGAGGTGGAGCAGCTCCCAGTCTGGGTCTGGCCGGCTGTTTCCAGTCGTCCTAAGCCCCCCCCCCCGCAACGTCAAGTTGGCTGCGTGAATCGGAGACCAGGATGGGGTCTGAAAAGTGGCAGGCGAGCCATAGGGATCCCGCGCCCAATTAGCCTTGAACAGGCCGCTTCACAAGGCGCCTGAAATCGCCTTTCCCAGGCATCAGCCCTTCAGGCCCTGAAGTCTCTCCGTGTATTTTGCTGGCATCAAAGCAGCTCCCGGCAAACGGCGGGGCGTCTCGCCCAAGCAGTAATTTTGTTCTGTTCTATTAATGAACAAAAACACATTTCCTGCAGGTAACCCTGTCGGGCAGAGAGAGAGGGGGGGCAACGGGGGTGGGGGGGATTTTGAAACCACAGCAGCTGCTCGAACTGACCGAGCTGCCTGGGAAGGGCGCTCCGATGCCCCCCAGGGTGAGCCCGAGCCAGTTGGGGCTCCGCAGAGTCTTCCGAGGGACAGGCCCGGTCAAAAGGCCTCTTCTTCCCCCGAACTATTTTAAGTGCTGCTCTGCTTAAATAGTTTATTGAGCAGACCGACATTGCTGGGGCTGCGCAAGAAACAAGCCACCCCGGAGAGGAGGCCTGGGAGACGCAGCCATCCCGAGAAAGTGTCCCGGCACCTTCCGGTCCCCGACTGGACCGAGGCCCCGGACCGTCCTCTTCCATCCAGACTTCCCCGAAAGAGCCCGGCTCGCTTGTGAGCAGAACGAGGGGTCGGGCTCCACTCTGGTGCCGCACGGCCGCACTACAGCGGATGAGGAGACTCGGGGTCCGACTGCGGCAGCTCCCTTTCCTGCCCGCCCGCCCAGCCCGTCCCGAGCGGACCTTCGCTCCTGCCCGCCCTCGCTCGCTCGCTCGCCGCTCCGCGCTCTGCACACGGCCAGAGGCGCCCTCCCCCGCGGCGGGAGAGGCTGGCTCAGGGGGCGGGGAGAGGGTCGCGGAGCCCCGCCGGAGCCGGGGAGGTCCGGGGCCGCCCTCGCCGCCTGCGGGCGCTGGGGGCGCCGTTGCGGAGCGCGGGGCGGGGGCGGCCGGGCCGGAGACGCCTCCGCGCCGAGCGCCGCCCCGCTGGCTGCCTGGCTGCTGCCTGGCTGCTGCTCGCCCGGCCGGGCCGTCGGAAGCGCCGCGGACCCCGGAGCGGCGGCCGGCCATGGAGCAGGAGCGGGAGCGGGGCGCGCCCCGCCGCCAGCCGCGCCTCTGCCAGATGCTGCGCGGCGAGCAGGGCTACGGCTTCCACCTGCACGGCGAGAAGGGCAAGAGCGGCCAGTTCATCCGCAAGGTCGAGCCCGGCTCGCCGGCCGAAGCGGCGGGGCTGCGCGCCGGGGACCGCCTGCTCGAAGTCAACGGCGTCAACGTGGAGAAGGAGACGCACCACCAGGTAGGTCCGGGCGGGCGGCCAGTCTACCTGGAAGAGCCGGGGCGGCCGGAGGGGGCAGGCAGAGCCCTTAAAAGCGCGGCGGCGGCGAGAGGGGCTGCTCTGAGCGCCCTCAGCCCTGAATCGCCCGGGCCTCCCCCTCCCCCCGCCAGACGCCCCCAGACCCGCAGGAGGCCCTGAACTCAGTCGCCCTTCGGGGCGGTTTGGCCCCCGGCGGAAGGGAGCTCTGGAGGACTTGGAGGGAGAAGGCGCCAGGGTGCCCTGCCCGGCTGGCCCGCCAGATAAGGGTCCTTCCGGGCTCCTCCCTGGGATCTCAAAGCAGCCAAGCCGAGGGACCGGCTTCGTGGGGGAGGGAGGGCTCGGGAGCCTGAACTCTCAGTCCAGGAGCCGCATGGAGCCCCCCCCTTCCATAAAGGCAGCCCCCCTTTTGCACTTCTGGGCAGAGGGTCCGCTTCTGGGAGGTGCGTGCCGGGTTAAGCCTCAGGAGGCAGATGGTTTTGGAGTGGCCCCCGCCTAACTGGCACCCTCCCAGGATTCTCATCGGGAGCCAGACTGGCTGGGAATTCTGGAACATCCGTCCCAACATCCCCAGAGGTGCCAGAATGCCAGTGGCTCTTGTAGTGATGGAGATCAGGCAACTTGGCGCGTGCATGTACAGCTGTGCTTTAAGGGGAGTTTACATCCAAGCTAGCCATGCGCAGGGGAGGAAGAAACATGTCAGCCTGCTGCCCTTTTCTTCCTCTCCCTTTGGTGCCGAGGGTGGGGGCAGAGGGGATTTGGGTTGCTAGAGACCCTGCAGCAGTTTTGGGGGGAGGAACAGCTTTTCACTGCTTGCTTTCAATAAGCCCGGAGAAGTTAGCTGGTGAGGGACCCCCTTCCCTTCAGGCTGTTTGGGAGGACTTCCAGGAGGAAAGCCCGGGAAGTTTACTGTGTAAACTGAGTCCTCCCTTCCCCTGCTTGTAAACCAAACAAGCCTTGTGCTTGCATGACACGCTTAAGTGGGCCATCCAAAGCCCTGAGAAAATGGAGAGGATTCTCAGGGATGGCCACACTGGCTGGGAAGTTCTGGGGTTGGGCCCAGAATAAAGAGAAAGGTCCCAGGTAAAGCGCTGATCCCGGACTGGGGAGACCATACTCGGCTTGGAGCTCACTGGAGAGTTTGGCCAGTTACTCTCCGTAACCTAAACTGACTTACACTGACAGGGTTGATATAAGATTAAAACTCGGAGAGACCCCCCTGAAAGCTTCCTTGCCACCCTTCCCCTCTTGCCAGCTTGCACTGGACTCCTGCACATCTCTCATTTTGGTGTCTAGAGAGGGCAAAATCTCATTTGCTTGATGGGCATGTTAGATCTGCCAAGCTTCTGTGTCTTTCCTTGTGACAGGTTTTTTTTGGGGGGGGGGTCTCACAGCTCAGCCCAAAGCTGGTTCAGAAGAGCAGGCAGGGGTCTCCTTTGGGGCTTGGCGAGCAGAGGCATTCACCTGCTGCATCAACAAAAGACTGCGCTGTTGTGTATGCAGAGAGAAAACAAGGGGGACTCTGGGGCGAAGGTTCTTGCTACTTGGTCTCAAAAGCAGAGAATACTAAACTATTCCATAATAATATAATAATATCCCAAAATAAGGCATCCTATAGCAGCTCTTTGGTGGTAATTGAGATGTTTTAGTCAGGAGAGAAATTATAAGATCGGAGGACCACACGCAGGCAGCCACCCATACAGAATGAATGAGAAGCAGAGCTGTGTGAGAAATCCTCACTGGGGAGCAACTTAAACCTTTAAGAAAGTCCTGCCTTTCTTCCTGCTATCCTGGGTGACATTTCTAGCATAACCCCAACCTTTTTCCCCTGCCAGCACCAGTCCTGTGAGGCAGGCTGGGCTGAGAGGGAGCTTCTGGCTGGTGGGCCTGGCCCCTTTCCCTCCTCCTTTGGGGCAAAAGTCAGGGAGAACCAAGCTGTGTGTTGCAGGGAGCCAAGGCAACCCAGAAGGTGCTTTGATAATGAAAGGGGTGATGTTAATGAAGTTCTCATGGCCAGGAGTCTGGGCTGGAAGCTGGCCAAAAGAAAGAAATGGGCAGGTGGAAGGAAGGAGGAAAAAGACAGCAGGGGAATAAGGAGGGGGGCTGTTGGCCTTGTCTGTGTGGAGTGATGTGGATGATTTGTGTCTTTGCTATATATTCTGCTTTTCTGTCCAGAGGCTGCAGAGAGCTAGTTTGCCCTGCTTTGCCTAAGTCCATAACCCAGCTCTTTCCAGCAAGGGGAGATTAACTGTGTTTCAGAGAGGATTCAGAGACCAGATAAATCATTTGACTGGGATGGTATAGGGCTCCTGCCTTGAGCAGAAGGTAGGACTAGATCAGGGCTTTTCAACCTTTTCACCCATTGTACCACTTTTAGGATATGGCAACATCTGAGTACCACCAGTCGCCTAACAAGGTGTCAAAAACTTGATGACCCCCCCCAAAGGAAAAAAGTGATAAAGTACAGGTAGTCCTCAACTTACAACAGTTCACTTAGTGACTATTCGAAGTTACAATGGCACTGAAAAAAGTGCCCCCCAAGCCACAGCCGAGCAAGACACCTGCCTGCCCACCTGGCAGCGCTCTTCCTCCTGTCCGAGGTTTTCATTGTGAGCATTTCTGTTGAGGATTGGCAGCGGGGGTGGGGTGGGGGGTGTTTGGTTTTTATTCCCCTCCTCTGCTGGGTGGTTGCAGCAGGTTTTGGTCACTTCACATAACCCTGGGACACTGTGACCATCATAAATATGAATCAGTTGCCAAGCATCTGAATGTAAATCACAAGACCCTGGAGATGCTGCAACATTCCAGCTGATCGGCACTTCTTCTGGGCTCAGCAGAAGCACCAGGATCAGCGCCGAGCTCCAGCTGGAGCCTGGCGCTGATCCTGGTGCTTCTGCTGAGCTCTGACAGCCCTGCAGCTCCAGCCATCTCTCGCTCAGGTTTGTGCGGTGCTGCTCATTCCCCTCCCCCGCTACCACTTTTCTAGAATGGTCGCATACCATGCCAATGTACCACAGGTGGTACCCGTACCACTGGTTGAAAAGCCCTGGACTAGAAGACCTCCAAGGTCCTTTCCAGCATTATGATTCTGTGTTCTACATTCTGTGTAATGTTGTCATTATGAAAACGCTGTTGGGACTTACTTTCTTGCATCAGAGGTAGGGATTCAAAGACTAAATGGCAGCATTTGTATGATAATACTGCTGGGTATGTATCATCCTTGATGCATCATTGCTATTGGCTGCTATCGCTGCTTTTGCAAGTTTGAGAACATTCTTGGCCAACCTTGAATGGGGCCCATTCGTTGATTTTTCCCCAAAGAGTTTGAGGGGCCCTGCAAAGTGGCCTTCTAACTCCCCTTTATGGTGTAGCCCAGCGTTTTTCAGTCTCAGCAACTTTAAGATTTGTGGATTTCAACGTGTGTTGGCTTGGGAATTCTGAGAGTTGCAGTCCACACAGCTCAAAATTGTAAAGGCTGAGAAACATGGTATAACTGAGAGGAAGTTCAGAGCTTATTCAGGGGGTTTCATGAGTGACTGTGGAATTAAACTAGAAAATCCCCCAATTTATTTGTGGCTATTAGGTGAATCTGGCAGTGTTTTTCTGAATCCCAGTCTAGTTCATACGACTCTCTAAGTCACTAGATAGGATAGGATAGGACAGGACAGGACCTTGGAGGTCTTCAAGTCCAGCCCCCTGCTCAAGCAGGAGAACCTATACCATTTTAGACAGATAGTTTGTTTCATTTTTCCTAAATGAGTTGTGTTAATCTCTGAGTTGTTTTAGTGACATCTGTGTCTTAGAAAGGTAAAAGGTGTTTTGTATAATTGCATTGTAAAGTATGGCAACTACAATTTGCAAACCCTGATTTCCTGTTTAATGTGCCATGTGAAACCAGGCAGTTGTAGCTGAGTAAACCTTGGTATGGCACAGCCTGCCAATTGAGCTAAAGGCTGATTTTATGGTGGCTGGATGTTCTTGTGCCCAGCTTATGTCATATTGGCCAGCAGATGCATTAGGACTACACATTCCAGAATTCCCACCAACCTCTGTTCTGGCTCCCTGTTGGGAACAACAGAAGAAGTGACTTCTTTGACCAGCATCGCTCCTTGAATCATGGAATCAAAGTATCACGCTGTCCTCCTTTTGATTCTGCTCAATGAATATTTCCTCATAGCACTAGTCATTCAGCTTAAATGTTTTGCGTATTTCTGTCTGGGCATGTGTGTTTGTGTCTGTATTTACACTTGACATTTTGGAATCTGAGCCATGAGGTTCTTTGCTGGCCCTCAGGACAATTCCAGGCCTGCCTGTTAGGAAGTGAAGTGTGATCGACTCTGGCTGGAGGATCTGCCCCTCAATCATTTCTTCGGATATTTCAAAATGTGCAGATTCTGAGCTACAATTCCTCTTGGATCTGACTCAGTGCAGCACCTGCTGGTGACAATATGGAGGCTCTTATGGAGAATTGGGGTGCTTAATGGCCATCCTGAAGCAGAGCCTACATTTCTGGATGTTCTGCAGTAAAGCAATGAGGATGGTCACCAAGAAGCTTTTTCAGGTTCTTCCCAGCCAGTTTGTTCAACTTTAGAATTTCTCCATCAAAGTTGAGAAATTGAGTGGGATCTTTTTTCCAAATGACAGCAGAATGAGAGATTTAGTGTGGCCCCCTGGGACGAATCTTATGCAAGGTGTGGGGCTGTAGGAAGGGGGAAGCTGCAGAGCCCATGAAGGGCAGGGCATTCACACAACCACCTTTAGAATTTCATGAAATTTCATTGAAATGTTTTTCTCCCTTGGAAGGCAAGAAAAATGACAGGAAACAAAAAGGAGGACAGAGAAGACAGGATAACAAACTGGGTGGAAACAAGAGAAACCACCATTTTCTGGATTAAAATCCTCTCCAAAGACCCCAGTGAAGAGCCACGTCTTCAGGTTTCAGGCCGCTTCCAAACACCTGCAGGGAGGAGGCTGTCCGGGTCTGCCTGCTCCAGAGGAGGGTCTCACTAGAGAGCCTGGAACGAACTAACCATGCAGAACCAAGTCGGCTGGGCAGATGCTGTGGGGGGCAACTAGTGCAGCTGGCAAAACTGCAGCATTACATGGGCAAATCAGAGCTTGCCCATCACTGTCTTCTGGGCCAGTTGAAGCTTCTAGGTGGTCTTCAAGGGCAGCCCCTCATGGAGCATATTGCAATAGTCAAGTCATGAGATCACCACAGCACGGGTGACTGAAGGAAGACCTGGCACCCTGACCTAGAAAAGGGTGCAACTGGTACACCAAATGAAGCTGTGCAAAGACCTTCCTGACAGTTGCTCTTTCTCTTTAATCAAACCAAATGATTTTTTTCCATCTGGCCCTATGGAATATTAATGATGATTCAAAGTTGCTGTAAGTTCATCACTATCTATAGGTACAATAGCTATAAAAAAGCTCTGTTGGCTTTCCGCACAATGAGTCCTGAATCACACTCCAGATTCTGCCTGTGACTTTGTTCTAGTCAAGTTTACTAAAATGTTTTATGCTGAACTCGCTGTTTGAAATGCTGATGCCTGCTTCACAAACAATTTCACCCCTGTCTAAGAAAGTCTCTAAGAGGCAGAGAGACGGGGGGGGGGGCTGTCCTGTCAGGTAGCGCTTGCTTGCAATGGGGGGTGAAGGCTCTCCAGACTTCCTTCGCAGCTTGTTGTGGGAATGTGTTGCAAGGGTTTGAACCAATCCTAGGTGTGTTAAAGGCATCTGCAAATGCAGCTGAAAGACAGCCAACAGTTCTCAGGTACTGAGCTCTGGATGGCAGCACTGGCAGGTTGCAGGGTTGCATTCAGGGCCCTCTGGCTTGTTCAGGCAGAGCAGCCCACTTGAGGGTCCAAGTTTCTCCTGGCAGGGCTGGGTCCAGGACTTCGTCTTCAAGGCAGAAATGGAGATGTTCAGAGGCTGATTCATGCGGTGCCAGACAATTGGTCTTCACCCTCCCCAGATGCTGAGTTGTGTGAAGTAGATTTATGATGCCAAGCCAGGCTGTGGACAGGGTGAGCTGTCCCTGCAGGGGGTAGGGCCACAGGGCAGAATGGATGGGGCTGCCCCGTACCTATAGGGCTAGATAGTTTTTCTGGGAACTGAACCGAAGAAGCTTCTTGGATAAGTAGTGAAACGTCTTCAAGGAAAACAAAGAAAGCCCTTTTGTGGGATGGTGTCTTAAGCCCTGAACCCCAGGAAAAGACCCATCTGCTTGATGGAATCCTCTCTTTGCACCCTGGAAAACATTTTGGCAGTTGGAAGACCTTCCTGGCCCTAGCCAAGGGATAATTAAGAACTTCAGATTTAGAACAATGCGTGAATCCAACAACTGCAGTTGATTTAACCAACTTCAATGTCTCGGGGCCAAACTGGCCTCCCCCGGGAAGCTCCCTCTCACCCCATAAATGAACAAACCAGGGCAGTTGCTCCCCTGCCTTTTTAATGTCAGCTGAAAGTATTTGTATTTCTGCTCTCTTACAAATGCTGTTCAGGAGATTTTTTTCCTATTTAGCAACCTTCCATTCTTTTTGAGGGTCTGGCTGATGCTTTCTTCTTCTCCCCTCGCCCACCTGTCCTTCCCCAGGTTGTGCAGCGCATCAAAGCAATTGAAACCGAGACCCGGTTGCTGGTGGTGGACAAAGAGACCGATGAGCATTTCCGGAGTCTCCGCCTGACCTGCTCCGAGGAGGTGGGCTGGCCGGTCATGGTGGCAAACCCTGAGGCACCACCAGGCAAAGGGCCCAATTCCAGCAACGGAGACTCCTGGAAGGCTGCGGCCGAGCTGAGCAGCAGGAGCCTGAAAAGGCACAAGTACAGTTTAGGTTCGGAGAGTGGGAAGAAGGTAAGCCTGGCTGTTCCCAGAGATGGAGGGAAAGTGCAGCGGTAAAGATCTGAAAGGGGCTGCAGCCCAAATAATAGGGACAAGGTGACTTGCAAGGATGGCCCCAAGGCTAGATCAGGCCAAGGAGGGCCCCGCCCAGCCTTTGGGGTCCCTCCGCCAGATGCACCTGGTAGCATCCAGAATGGAAAAGACAGGCCTCTTCTGAGGGGCTCCAATGGTTGGCACTTCAGGGTCCTGGGGCATCACCTCCACTCCCTCCTCTTGATACCGGTCTGGCTTTCTGGAGGAAGGAGAGATGGGAGAAGGCTTAGCTGCCTGGGGATCCAAGCAGAGCTGTGATCCCCCACAGAACCTGCCACAGCAGCCACGGGCCGGATCGGTGGAGTGGCAGAATCAGCCTCTCTGGGTCGGGCTGTGCTTCTCTCATAATGTGGGCGCACATCTGCTTCCTCTGCCTAATGGCTTCTCCTCCTTGCTGCCACAGGCCTTCTCCTGCCCTCTGCTGCCCCGAACCCCCACGCAAAACAGTCCTCCCGCTGGACTCAAAGCCTTCCCCTCCACCTGCTCTCCGTGGCAACTGCCCACGCCGGAACTCCTTCGCCCTGTGGCTTCCCCGCCCTCCTCCAGCTCTCGTTCTCTGCACAAGGGGGAGAAACGGAGGCGAAGGAGGGGGATGGTTTCAGTTCACCCTGGAAGGCAAAACACACTGACTCTGCATCGGTTGAGGCCCTGTTCAAAATGCCTGCTTTTCTAAACCGAGCAACATAATTTGCATACTGTAAAAAGTGCAGATCAGAGCAAACTCAATCCTAATTATGAAACTTAACATCCAGAAATATTTGAAAAAAATAGATAACATTATGTAAAACTGCCAGCAACATTTGTTATGCTTGGAGAAATGGGCTCACGTGTCATTTGTAATGGAAACTTAAAAAAAAAAAAGATTTCTCAAATTCAACAAAGCAAACTTCATACATTCACAAAATTGACTAACTCAGAAAAACTGAATTTGACAGATTTGGAGAAATGAGAAACTACCAGGAACAAAAACTGATATTTAGACCTTTCACCAGTGCCAGGTTCCTCCAATATCAGATGGCCCAATAAGGAAAGGCCAGCCCAGCAACATGCAGACCGGCATCCAGAGGAGGCTCCCTGGGCTCTGGCAGAGTGCCTGGGTGATAGCTCCACCTTGATGGTGCTTTCCTCCCGCCCGTCCCAGGGAGCCTCTCGGGAGACCCTGCGCCCGGCCTGGAGCTCTGGGTTTTGCAGGGGCCTCCCATCCAGGCACTAGTGAAGTTTAGCACCGCTCAGCTTTGGAGACCGTCCAAAGTCACTTACTCAATTTATGACCACAATTGGGACAGGTCCCTAAGTAATATGGTTGTTAAATGAGTGATCACATAACCAAACTTGATGTTATGGGGGGGTGGGAGGGGAATGGGAGCTGGTTGATCATGAAGGTAGAGTGACAGTCGTTTTCAACAACAGGTTGTAAATTACTTTTTCCATGGCTGTTGTAACTTTGAACTGCCTTTAAACAACCAGTTGTAAGTCGAGGACTACCTATTGACATTAAATGGTAATAATATATATTCATTTAATAGCATTAGTGTACAAATGTTTGTAATGCTAATTTTGCACTGTTTGATCTTGGTTGCTGAAATAACATGGTCAGTTTCATTTGCATTTGGATGAACCTGGTGGGTGGTTTCCTGAAGATTTTTTTTTCTTTAATGCTGCAAAATGACAAATTAATAGAGAGGCTCAGCTGTAGCTCCATATTTTATGCAAATGTTTCAAACAGCTTGTTTGTCTGCCTGTGAACATAGCATGGATCTGTAAATACATTTTATGTACACTGCTGTAGCACAGTGATTCCCAAACCAGAAACCATGATTAAAACTGGTCCCATCGTTCCTTGGTTGGCTTTTCCCTTAGAAAAACAAAACGGAATAGCTGGGAATGATGCTCTCAGGTCAGCTTTAGGAAGCTTAAATCACGTCTGCTGGGGACGCAGCACAGGGGTGGGGGCAGGGAGACCCAGTAGGGTTTTAAGTCCCAGTATAAAGTAAGGAGGTTGCACTTTTTCTAGAGGATGCTGGGGGGGGGGGAGTCAAATCTTGATCTTGTGAACTACAAACAAACTAGAGAAAAAAATGTCCTGGAGCAGCTGTAAGAGTGGAGGAGGAAATAGGCATCTCTGAACTAACAGCTGTTGCAAAATGATGCTCTTGGTACAGTTGTGTGTACCTTACCTTACCTATATAAAGCAATGCAAAGCGCATTAGCCTTTTGGCTTATCTCCTCCCTCTGCATAATGGGGAGGAGAGGGCAATTAAACAGATTGAAGGAAGGCATGCTGTCATTTCAGAGCTGGATAGGAACTGCCTGCCTGCTTTCCAGTTTTATCTTTCACATTCCACACTGCTGCGCTTTGGAGAGTTGAGCTGCACCCAGTCAGGACAGTCAGGCTGGCAAAGCCTTCAAGAAAGGCTGGTCCAAGCAGGTGTCGTATCAGCTGATGGCCCTTACTTTGCGCAGGCTGCTCCATACTTTTCCTAAATGTTTTTAGATGCAACTTTCAGGCAACGGAGGTTTTGATGCACTGCAGAGCTAAATGTTGCTGTACAAGCACTTTTACTTGTTAGGCGTCTGTGCATTTTAGAGAAGCAGATGCAATCAAGTTAAGTAATTTTCTGCATGAAATAGACTAGAAGGGATTCTGAAATTAACTGAATCAGAGGTTGCATTTTGGTTATCAGGTCTGGGCTGCAAAAATACGGACAAGCAGCAGATGCCTGCCAAAAGATAGATATAAACTCTCTGCTACCAGCTGAGTTTTTTCTGCCTGCCTCAGATTATCTGCTAAAATGCAAGCGTATGTGATAAAAGGAAAGAATTGCCTTGATAATTTGGATCCCCCAAGAGATTGGTGGCACTAAAGGATACAAAATCCAGCTTTATCACATGTCCGGGAATGAAGGAACAATGGTTAAGGCTGATGCATGAATGGAGGCTGGGCACTGAGCGAATCACCCGAGCCTTGCTGGAGCCTCTGGCTGCCTGGCACCTTGCGATCCTCTTCTCAGTCCAGTAGAAACAGCACTGCTTTGTTTGCCCTGGGTCAGCTGAGGAACACAATGGCTCGCATACAAAAGGGGCACTCGGGTGTCATCCTTGCTTGGTTTGGGGGAGGCTGCAAAGAACTTCTCTTTTTTAAAAATGAAAACCATATTTGAAGAATGAGTTGCCTTCCCCAAAGACTTTGCCAGTGTTGCTGGGTCCAGCCTGAGGGATGTGCCTGATGCTTTCACCAGAGCTCCTTTAAGCATTGCAAACCTTCCTCCGGCTTTTGGGTTAAACTGCAAATGATTATCTCTTCAGTTGACTTACAGATTTCCTTGTGGAAAAGATTGGTTTGTGCAATTAGACGTTTGCATTTACCTTTGGGGGGGGGGATGGAATTGTGGCTTTCACATTGTAGACAAATGTTTATGAGGACCTTTGGGTTGTCTTTTCCCCTTTCTCTCTGTGCCTAGAGATTCAGCCCAGTGGGAGGAAGAAGAGAGACATGGCATCCCACCGTGGCTTGCGGGGATGTTTTTTGCAATTCCCAGGGTAGCCCCCAGCCTGGGCATTTTCTAGTGGTCTTTTCCCCAAGGGTCAGTCAGGCTTGACTCCCCATGATTTTTCAAGCATGAACTTTGCCTCATACTTGAAAATAATAGAACATACTCCTTGCCCCTCCTGATTCCTTCATAAGACCAAGCAGGGTGCATGCTGCTGGAATTGGGAAGTGGCTCATGCTTCTCTGGAGGAGGGGGAGATGCCATCCGCCTCTCTCAATCCAGCCATTTTTGAGAACTTCTGTCTTTCTCCATCCAGCCTTCTGTTTTTAGCAAAGGTCACAGCTGCCGGAGGTCTTGGAAGAAGTAGATCATCCAAATCTGATTCAGGCATGGTCCCAGGATGGAAATGGCACTGGTTGTCTTTGTCGGAGGAAGTCATCCTCTTGGTCCTCCTAGATCCTCTCAGAAACTACTGACTGTGGGATCTTCAGGACAGTTGCAGTAGGAGGCCCTGTTTTGCAGTGATTCTGCCCCTATCTGATGAGGAGGCTCCACTTAGCATTTGTGGGAGAAGCACAATTGAGCCTGTGGTAGCTCCAGTGTGGAGAATGGTGGGCTCGGCTCTCTCCCCACATCACTGAACATCTGCATTGAATATTGAACATCTGCCTCTAGGAAAAAACTCCATTGGTTTGGAAAGAACATCAACAAATGCTGATATTACTTAATTATGCACTGCCATCCATATTGGGGCGGGGGAATGGTGATGGCTTTGCTTGATGCATTAATTACAGACTTGCCTTACCGAGATCAGGGGGCCTTGGCGACAGTAACACATCCATTTATCACTGTGCAGGTGGACTACTGCCATGCATTCCACTTAGGGCTGCCTTTAAAGGTAACTTGGAAGCTTCATTAGGACGTAATGTAGCAAAACATCAACTAGCTGGGGAAAGCCGCTGGTGTAGAATTTCACCTGCTAGATGCCTGTAGACCTCCTGGCCGAATTCAGGGTCTTGGTTATCCCCTATAAAGCCCTACACAGCATGGGGCCTTGCCCAGCTGTCTAGATGTCTAGATGGGTCTGCTTAAGATCCCACCTCCTCAAGAAGTAAGAGGAATGCAGACCAGGAGAGGAAGCTTCTGTACGGCAGCCCCAACAGTATGGAATATGTTTGACCCCAGAAGACACTGAGAACTCTACCTTTAAAGCCCCCCCCCCCCTTGACGATCACGGGTGAGCTTGGAATTACTGTGTATTGTCCTGGCTTCTCTTTTGCTGAGGATGGGAAGGATGACCTCTTGGGGCTTTATCACGGAATTATGGTTTGACATGCAGAGCGGTTGATTAGGATTATATTTGAGAATCTCAGATAAATAAATGGAGTTAGATGGCCCCATGATCTGATGCTTCATACAGCCTAGGTT